ATCCTTAGTTCCGGCTCAACGCTTACGGCATACAAGTGAGTTATGTGACTCACTGTAACCGTTTGTAGGGGGTGTGTTGCTTGATGTAGCAATCAGGGACGTTAAATTAGTCACCAGTTTTATAGGAGATTGGGTTCGTTGCTTTTTACTTTGATTAACAATAACTATCAGGAATGGGAGTTAATGGTTACAGGTATGGAAGTAATATAGTACTTGTGCAAGTATTACAACAAGGTAAATTTTATGTAACGAATCACGCAAAAATGTAACGCAAAGGTTGAACGTATCAGCAATATATAATAACGCAACCCCTTGCAATTCCCGTGCGGAGTCAACGTCCAATAATTTCACTCAATTTTAAAGATTTGACTTAGCCCAATAACTTTTAAATAATTCAGTTGGAAAAAGACTTCACAAGTTACTAGTCCAGTTAATTGTACTTTTTTCGATATTTCTGTCATTTAAACCAGTGTCCAGTCTAAAACTGCATTTGTCAAATATGAACATGGCTGTAATCACCGTATGTTAATCGCGTAAATAATTAATTTGTGTGAGTGAACCATTATTTATTGGCGCTAACTATCACAAGTGATGCAAAATGGTAGGTTAAGTTCCAGCTGTGTCGCTAGTAGCCGCGAAGCACGTTAAGTGGCCATTTTTCTACTCCGATATATCAGGGCTATTTGACTTGCTATCTCAAGGTATTCTCTTTGAGAGGTAGTGCTCCCATGAAATTCTTGGCCCATTAGTTATTTCTAAGCAACAGGGTACAAGTAACTCAAGTGGAATCTATGACATCTCACCGTAGGCAGAAGAGAAATGGGGTTCTATATGGTAGCTTACTAGGATCACCTGTACTTACAGTCCACACCAATAGCATTTATAACTGCTCCACCCCAGGTAAACCATTGTTATACGCGGATGACCTCAAAGTTGTCTACCACTGCTACAGTCATGAGTTAAAGGATGTGATAGGTGAAATACGTCTCGAAGTGAGTAGTCTCACCGCATGGTGTGCTGAATATTGTATGAAGTTCAAGATTAGCAAATACGCCTAGATTTGCATCGGCAAAATTTTTCCTGATCTTACTCTTCGAATAAATGGGCAAAAACTAGCCAAGCTGGAGCCGATAGTAGACCTCGATATCAGATACTCTGGTAATTTAGCGCCATATGAATAAAACGATATACGATGTGAATAACTCAGGCTTCTAGAATGCACAACCCTCGGCAGTTTGTTGTGAAACAGGGGTTTCATAACGCAAAATATGTATTCGGCCTATTTTAGAATTCTGCTCGTTTACTCTTGGCAGACTCTATCAGAATGACAAACTTAAATTAGCGAGAGCACAACGGCAATTTTCTTTAGGTGCTCTCGGTCAATAATGCGGTCTTTACTACGCTAAGCTTTGGGACAGGCTGAAAATAGAACCGCCCTGGAGGAGACGGCTTGAAATGAATCTTACTTTCGACTAAATGTTAACTAATATTCTCTTGCACCCTTCTCTAACTCTGTCGTCGATTATAATCGTAGAAATCATAGTGACCTAGTGGCTATATAGTACTACCAGACATACATGTGGCCCTACTTCCTCATCACCCCAGCCACCTGACTCCTCAAATATGGCGATGCTCCTCTCCATCTGACTCTCGTGCCTTCTTTTTCACTCTACATAGATGCACTTAATTCATCAACTTATGAGCAGCAATAAAGCCCGTTAATACATGTCAGTACTATTGGAGGAACATGATAAAACATTTCTAGACGTGGCATAGATATAAGTTCCTACATGCAATATAATTGTGAGCGCTTCCCAGCTAGTTATTTGGTGTATCAATGGAAATCATAGTTTCCACACGAATATAAGTTTACAAATAACTTCTTGAGGACTTCTTGTATGGTTAAATTATATGGTTGCTGAAGGAGGGAGGGTGGTGCTAGCTGATCAGTAGATATGGTGGTGGTCACTAAGGTGAATCGCCCCATTCTGCAGGAACAGCAATACGCAATTTGAAGGCTCGAGATATTTCTGATTTTTATGAGGGCTTAGATCTCTATCTTGAAAAAGATAATAGTGAACGCCTTGACAGATCATGCTTCTACCTTTAAAAATATACCATTCGCTCAGCCTATTGTTGAGATGCGACCACGTGGGATCTGCACAGATTTATGGGGCATCTTATAAATTAACTTGCTATCCATTGTCAGATCTTCAAATACCACTTCACAATATCTTGTCTCACTTATTTTCTAATAACGTCTTTACTTGATCCTCATTATATTCCATTAAACCAAACATTTTATAGCTCTTTATGAATTTGATTCGACTTATTCTATTCCTATTCTCTGGAGGGTACGGTTGTGCACCAAACAGAAAAAAAGACATGAAATAAAAACAACTGGCTTGAAAATAATTGTATTAAAGCCAAAAGTGGACATCATGATAGTATAAAATATATTGGTTTTATTATACATTGCAAATGAACGTTGTCGGCCTAAGGATTAATTGCTTTCCCATTCTATTTCCTATATAAATGTGTTTATTAATGATATATTTCACTCAATCTATTACACTTTAATGTTTCACCTTAGCACTTTAACTTTTCTAAAACAGCTTTCAATCCCTTGTAAACGTTGTACTAACCTCAATATTGGTTGGTTATCGTAAGCCTACAACCACGGGATGAAAACGAAACGAAGTCGATTTTCCCGCTCAACCTGGAGGACAACTGTACAATTCAATAACTATACGACCTGGTTCAGACAATCAGTGTAATTATATATATGTATCAAATATTAAACTGTTGATACATTATTAACTTGTAGACAATTTAAGATTTGACATTATAACATACTTGATCGTGCCTGTAAAAATGGCATGCATTTTCATGTAAATTTATGTTTATATGAAATAAATTATTATATTATTATATTATTTTGCCTTTAGTTTGCGGGAAAAACCTGATAACTAGCGATTCAATGGACCACATCAAGAAATGTAGAGATATTGACTGTGCATTGTGTAACTGAATAACTCCATGTGTGCTTACTTCATGTACATATTAATTGTCATATTGATAATGCCTGTAAACTGACGTCACTCACAAACAAATGAGAATATATTATTATCAGGCAAACTGTGAAGATCTGACAACGTAAGCCATTAACAGTTGAAATTCCGAATGACTTCAAATGTATTATTTGAATTTCTAGTTGAGTGAATCTTCATAACGAGCACTTACGAAAAAAACATCAGAAATGTGCACGGATGGTAATATGTGATAAGTGTAAATATAAAACCTGAAAAGTTATGTAATAAAGATTCATTTATTTTGGAAATGCTTGGAATGCTTTCCTCTGCTACGGTAGTGGTATAGATGGACTTAACAAAGCGGTTGAGACACTTTACCAGCCTGACCATCACAGTAGCGAATTTGACCACTAGCTACTAATAGCCACTATAGCACATGAAACGTGTGTTGCTCAGCAAAGGTGGATTATTTGGACAGGTCGATGTGCAGGCTGCCAAAATGACTAATCGTTAGGGACATTAGGGTGGCGTGTTTTGAAACTTTCGAAGGATATGCATCAAAAATACTGTTGTAGATTTGGAAGCAAACTAGACGGCAGGTGCTTATTTTTCAGAAGGCATAAAACTACAGCTTATTCGTGCACGAACAAGTTCTGTCCTATACAAATTCTTCTTTCTTTCTGGACAAATTTGGTTATTACACATTGTTGCCGAAAGTCTTTCAAGGACAGCGCGAGGTCCAGTGTAGTAAGACCTGGACATTGACACCTGTGCTTGGTTAAACTTAGATGTAGCTAATCCAGATATATGATTAATTTTATTGCTTGAGTCACTACGCCTGAGTCAGCTTTAACAGCGAAAGTGTGTTTCTAAATACTCGTGAAATTCGCGTGCTGAAATTCGGAGCTGCGTAGGCTTGAACATGGACTGAAGAACCAGCATTAACGTCATGGGCTAAAATTCAATGTAACAGGGAAGTCCTCCAAGTAATGCCAAAACAGGCGCTGATAAACTCAATTATGGATATCAATGGGGAAAAATACTACCTAGCCTAGATTTGGTGCATGTGAGCCACATTGTCTAGGACAGATGTTAGATTTGACCAGATTAGTCTCGTCATTTTGTGTGCGACCTCTAGTTAATGTGGCGATCTTTTCCTCTGTTTAATTTTGTTGACGAGCCAGTTCTGCCCGCTGGACTGCCTGGAAGTGCTGAGATTACATACGATGGCTAAGGATAGATTTAAATTATCGGGCAAACTCAGCGTTAAATGAAAGAGACTCTGCAGCCTACAAAATGCTGTCATCATCTGCGTTCCCCATCCTCAACCTACGGTAACAATAGGAATGTTTACAAGAAGAACTATCTCTCTTCTTTTATCGACGACACCGAAGGACTAACTGATGGAAGGATAAAATCTATTCACGGCAGCAACACAGTCTTAACGTACCGCATAATAAAAACATATAATTTATCCTAGCACCACCTCTTTTGGAGTCAACCGAAGCTATGGGTTATTTGGCGGGACGAACTACGTCGAAATTGACCGAAATCCAGGAACTTTCACCTCACACCCAAGAAGTGAGCACAAGGAAATCAAATCGGTTTACACTAGCTCGTAGAAACGATGTTGGAAATTAGGTATATGAATAAAACACACGAATAGTGTGAACTGCATTTTGTAGGGTCAGAATTACTTGACCCTCCTGAGTTGCATTTGAACAATCCTTTCATAAAAAATCAGATTACTGAGTCACTGAAGCAGATAGATTAAAGTAAATAATGTGTTTAAGAAGCCCTGTTGAAAATTTAGGTAACATGGTTAAAAACATCTACTCTGTTAGATAATAAGAGATGTTTCGTAATCTCAATGTTTAGTCTAAATCTTAGTAATTTTTCCAAAAAGACTCTTAATTATTTAGGAAATAAAGTTGGGTTTATGGCATTTACCATTGAATCTATACAGGGAGTTTGTTTGTTCTAGTGAACGTTGAAGAATGCACTTGAACATCTTGATTTCACATTTATGAATTAGTAATGTTTACCCGAGTGTTAACAATCCTTTTTCTTCTAAATATCTTTCACAAAACTGTTAGTTCCAGCGACAGTTATGAAGCTTATTTCCTACCAGATTCACTTTTCATTCAGCAATCAGAATCAGACACAGTGAAGATAGGCTTGAAGTAAGCAATATGTAACTTTTGTTATACGCCTAGCGGTTTCACGAATTCATATTCATGTGTTGAAATGTGTTTTCACTTTACATACGTTGGAGTTTCATACTTTTTCCAACAGATTTAATTTGGTTTTATTCATTCGTTGTATTCATTTTTCTGAAAGTCAATCAGTGTCAAACGATGTGACGCTTAAGCTAAGCTACTGGGAAAGAAATGGTGATATGGTTTCACCAGAAAAGCTGAACCAATCAGCCATTCTACCCATACCTGATTTCATTATAAAGAAAAATCAAGATGGTCCTACTCCCGTCACAATAACTGGTAACGTACCTGGTCATATATATCTGAGAATAAATTCATCTGGAAGTATTGATATTGTAAAGTAAGTGTAACTCATTTGTATCATACTGGTAACATCTAAATAATATGATATAAACTTATTTGTATGTATTCATTACACATGTACCACTTAATATGGCGAATTTGGCTGTTTAATGTCCTCCTCTTTCAACAGTCCGTTATGCTTAGGGTGTAATTGAAGTTATTTACATAAAAAACAGTATTTAGTTGAGATACAGTCATTACCACAAAGTTACGGGTCAGAAATTGCGTCTATCAAACAGAATTCAGCCTTATAATATGTCATATTGAGTGGTGAAGCTGCACAGCAACTAATTAGGGTACAAATAAGGAGGACCGAAAGCGTAGAAATTAAAATAGTTGAATAGACCACTGAACGTCGTCAGATCACTTTAGCAATGGGAACAATTGGAAACTCTCTTCAACTAAGAGCATCTTGCTTTAGTTTATGATACAATGTACAACCTGTTTAGGCAGTACCTAACTTAGATTTTTGAAGCTGATTTGGTTTCATTCTCATCTAGCAGACTGATAGCATAATGTGATTATTGTTTGAGGTGATAACAGATGTAAGGCTTCATTGCAGTAACAAAACAAAAGCCGTTCAATTATCAGCTGACAAGTCACTTTAAATCTCTGTCTTAGATGCAGTAGTGTTAGGCGACAAAAAATACGCACCCAAACAATTCATGATATAAGATCATTATGTTTTTATTAGCATAGGTAATTATATAGTTTCAGGTTGCAACCTAAATCAAAATTGTATAAGTTAGCTACGGATTATAGAAAATTTCGATTGAGGAGTAATCGTACCGACATAAACGCATATTTCATGCCAATTTATTTATTCTTTCATCAGTTTACTTGAAAATACTTAACATAGGCTGATGTGGCTGTTTGCATTCTCATGAATTATCCCTTGCTTATATACACCTTGTGACGACTTAGTGAAGCGTGAAAACCTGAATTCAGCAAGTAAGATGCTGAGTCCTATTTGGAAACGTGTCATTTTCTAACTTGACGAAAATAATTATTGCTTAGTGTAAGGTGAGCCGCTACTTAAGTTTCATTAACTCCTTGAATAAAAATTATATAATGCATAAAAACAACTTAATTAAGCTGTAGGATAATATTTATATTTGTATACTTTATGTAATATAGCAGTATATGATTAATTATTGTAAACCTAGGTTGAAACGTTCCGCTTTCATCCTTTTTCTCTTTTTAGCACAAAATCTGCACTATGTCGAGTGACTGTTGTGCGTTACCGTTGGTTAAATATACTACAAATTGTGATTGGTTGGCTTTATTTTGCTGCTTGGACTGTTTCATTCTATCCTCAGTTATATTTGAATTGGAAAAGGAAAAGGTGGGCCGGTTTTAACTCCTATTCTCTTGAAATTTATTATACACTTCTTTAAAGAGTTATTGTATGGGTGGTTTATTCGCCATATCTGTATGTCAAAGTTTTCTTACAAAGCTCCTAACATGCAACCACCTGTGCGTTTTAAGAATATTAACTTTTTTGCTGAGTTATTAGTTATTCACCACAAAAAATAAACATACTTATAGCATAATTTATGAATATTTCAATAGTATAAACCTCTAAATGAGCATATAATGATTTTGTTTGAATGCTGAAGCTTTGAAACAGCCTGGTCATTACTCGGAAAGCTGCATATACTTCCGTGTTTGCCTAAGATAAGCCTGTTTAGTTACAGGATTTCATCATGAGCTGACATTCGTTAGAGAACCACTGGAAAACCTGTGAGTACTGGACAGCTGTTTTGTCCTAGTTTGAAACTCTTCACAGTACTCACCCACCGAGGTTCGAAACAAGGACCTTCTGGTTACAAGGTGAGCTCATAGAACAATAAGCCACTGAGACCCGATCCAATAGCCATCCCATGAACTCTAACTTCTGCCAATTCACAACATAGAGCGAACCCTAGCCAATGTCTTCGGCGACTATTTGTCCTCACATCCGACCAGCTGCAGCCTACTGGTCAAGACTTCTCACTAGAACCCCAGGTAACTACCTACAAGTCACTAGTGAGCATCTCATCGATATGAAAGTGTTGGCTTTTAAGGATTTGATTGATTGGTTACAGGATTTCATCATAAGCTGACATGAGCTGTCCAGTACTCCCGGGTTTTCCGATGGTTCTCTAACTAATGTCAGCTCATGATGAAGCCCTGTAACCAGTCATTCAAATCCCTATAAACCAACACTTGAATATGTATGTTCGTATGTATTTTACAATTTTTTACTAGCATTTCCGAAACTTTATTCCTCTATTTTTTCTCAATGAGTGTAACAAATCTCTAAACTATGTAGAGTCAAATAAAAAGTTGACTGAGACAATTTCACTTGCTATCTCTCTAGAAACCTTGTTAGGGTACTCAGGACGTTGAGAACCAATGGCTTGAGAGTGTTAATGATGTGGCTCACAATCACACTCATTGGAATCCAATTTTTGAAATTCTTCCTGTCCATTAAGTTCTCATTTCTTTCGGCATGGTTACTGTATCTACCGTACATTTTTACTTATCACAGTTCTTTTAAATTTTTTCTTCTTCTCCACCTTTGTGAGCTACAGCAACTTGAGCCGCTGAACTTCGGTGCATATCTCTGTCTTGAAACACAGTCAGTCAGTCAGTTGCTTAGCCATAGACATTTCACGACAGTTTCGATTCCACATCATTTGATGTCATGACACTGTAGGAAGTAGATCTGTATTTTGCTGAATGTGGAAAGGCGAAATGCTATAGACTAAAAATTCTAAATTAAGACTGTTCCAAGAAGCACTTTCACCCTAAGTTAAGGAAATATTATTTCTTAAACCTTAGAATATCAAGGGCGTTGGAAATTGTCCAGGGCTACAACGAATTACAGGTGTGTAGAAGATGAGCATGGAAGCAAAATTGAAAAAATAAATTTTCAACTTGAGATGGGAGTCAGGAGGTGCGAATGTAGATTACAAGAGCCTTAGGAACACTGAAATTGCACAGGATTAAGATATAATTTTAAAATAGTTAATATTTTTAAACGAATTATAAATGTGAACAGGAAAAGCATGGAAACAAACTGTTTTTATAACTGAAATATGAGGTGAATCGAATGAAGACTGATGGAGTAAGAATCACACACACACACAGACACGAACGAAAAAAAGATCGAAAAGAAAAAAGAGAACGAGAGAAGAAAAAAACGAGAAAAGAAAACGGAAGCTAAGGGAACATACCGGACTAGGTCCATGGTAGTTTTTGAACACACAGCTCAGGCTTTCCTATACACCTGTAAAATTCGCTATAATCCAGAGGTTATTTTGTTCCTAAGGCTCTTGTAATCTCTATTCACACTTCCTGACTTCCATCTTAAGTTGAAAATTACTATTTCAATTTTAAAATAACAAATCAAAAATCACCGTAAAATTTTTTGTTATTAGACAAAATTTTATTTTTACCTTATACGTATGAACGAAGTATTTTCTCAGAAGGATTTTTGTGATCCTTTCATTCTTTTGACTCTATTTCGTTACAGTGAAAGTAAAATGTTTATCTAGTCGTATGTGTAGTTGCATGTGAACTGTTATCAGTCAGTTGATGAACTTGTTGGTGTTTAATACTCAGTTAATTTTTTGTTGTATATTTGATATGTATCCACATATATATATTTATGTGTGTGTGTGCATGTTGGTCTCTCTTTCTGTTTGCTCGGTTAGTCTGTGACCACTTCACTTGTATGGACTTGTCTCCTTTAATAATGTGTATTCTCCTTATATTATATTATATATAATATGAGTGTTTGTTGACAGTCCGTTGCTTGGTGACATATATCCATATATGTTTGTTGGCATGTCTGCTATATTCGCTATGTATAATTGGATCGACACTCCATTATAATTAGCCATTCATGTTAAGACTGTCTAATGATTTTTCCCACGCTTGTCTGAATTATTTATATATATTCGCATTCACAATTTGTGTGAACTACTTTACTTTACAACTGCTTTACTTACTTACCACTTTGGTGCGAGACCATTTATTTTCGTCTCCTTGTGTTTGGACAATAGAAGTATCATCGCAAACCTAGTGGTCTTCTGATTTCCGCCTTCTCGCGTCAGGACTATTAGTTTTCTCGACCAGTCCATAACAATAATTCAGCGACGAGTACATAACAATTTGGCGACGGGGAAAACTAGAACATAACAATATTTCATTGTTTTTTTTATTTCTCTAGTGTGGTTGGATTTAATTTTGATTTTGCTGTACTAAATGTCATTGGATTCCTCTACTACAGCATCTATAATATTGGATTATTTTGGATTCCATTAATACAGGTAGGTCAGCTAATTATTCTGCAGTTTGTTTGAACCGTAGTTCTCTCTCCGGCAGATAAGTTTTCTTCGTAAAGTATTCACACTAGACTGGTCACAGTTTTTCAGCTGATGATTCATGCTTACCGAAACTTATCTGCATGAGGAGTTATGTCCTGGAATGTGAAGGGAATCTATGTTGCTTACAACTTACAAACCTGTAGCGCCTAGTTTTAAAATCAAATACAAAGTTTTATAAATCTTAGGATGTTGAAGTTCTTGCTATTGTTTGATAGACTTAAAATAGATAGATAGACTGTTACACAATTTTTCATCTTGTTGTTAATTTGCTCTGTATTCATATTCTTAGCGTTTCTTTTATATAATGCTTCATTGTACCACTGGGTGTTTATTAATCGTTGGTTCTGTTAATATGCAATTTAGACTCCTGAATGTAGGTATCTGTGCTATTCAGAAGTCAGTTAAATATAGGCACTTTCGAGTTACGGTCTGTTTGTCACTAATAATGAATAATCATTATGTAATACTAGAAGAGATTTACGGCTTAAGTGAATGTTTTTAAAAAAAAAATGTATTTTCGTTCATTGAACTTAGTGGTTTATTTATTTGCCAAGCTTACATTATCTCTCTAGATAACACTGTCAACGAGTAATTCAATATAAATTTACTATTATTTAAGAGCCAAAAGTTCAGCAAGGAGTGTTTTTTTGACGAATTCATTCACTTAACCCTGTACAATCACATTTATATATAATTATTTTTGTGTGTGTGTGGGTGTACGTTAGGATTGTCAAACAAAAATAAAAAAGTGTTGGTTTGCAGGGATTTGATTGGTTTCACGATTTCACCAAGAGCTGGCATTAGTTAGAGAACCATTGGAAAACAAGTACTGGAGTACTGGACAACTGTTTCGTCCTAGTTTGAGACTCTTCATCAGTACGCACCCATCGGGATTCGAACCCGAGAATTCTAAGTTCTGCCACTGGGCCATTGGATCGGTTCCCAGTGGCTTAATGGAATACGAGCTCGTCTTGTAACCAGAAGGTCCTGGGTTCGAATCCCGGTGGGTGCGTACTGCTGAAGATTCCCAAACTAGGAGGGAACAGCTGTCCAGTACTCACTGGCAGGTTTTCCAATGCTTCTCTAACTGATGTCGGCTCATGATGAAATCCTGAAAAAGTAAAAACGTTAGTTAGGGTTATTGTTTTAGTCATTAAAATATTGCAAAAATGTGACGAATAATCAGACTGTAATAAGGAGGGACTGAAGATTGGTAACTATTGATTTTTTTCTTTTCCTTCACGTTCCCCAGTGGAACATAGTAGCAGTGTTTATTTTACAGGGTGGGTTTGATAGCCTCATGCTCAACCTTTCCTCTTTACCAGCATTGTTTCTGGCTTAGAGAGGTAAAGGAGTACGTCTGTGGTCGGAGATCGAACCCCAGACCATGTGCATGGTCGGCGAGCATCCTAATCGCTATGCCACCGATCCTCTTAACTATTGATAAGGGTTACATAATATAAGCGACACCTAGAAAAATAGGATGGTAACACAACAGCATGGAGATATGTGTCCAAAATAAATTATGTATTAGGTAAAAAGAGTAAATAGAGAGTTGGTTACGAAGAAGATGTTACTAAGCTGTTATACAAAAATTCAAAATAAAACATTATTAACAAGGCAGTAGAATTTTAAAAAGGAGAGTGTGAAGAGACTCCTTCTGTGAACATAAAACAGGGTTTTCTAAGACCTCCTCGGTGGTGAAAATTTTACGGAAGCTTACAGTTTTCGAGAGGCATTTTCCGACTTTGTAGATGACTTTCAATGCATTCTCCCTGCATATTGAGTGATAAATGTCAGTTATAGCACTCCTTTTTGTTTCACTGTTACCTTTTCGTAGCCAAGAAGGATAATGTTCCTTGACTCTCTTAGATAAAATGCACATTGAACGACCTATATATCTCGTCCCACATGAGCATGGTATATATACACATGGAAGTGGTCTAATGCGATAGCTTATCTTTGAAGTTGTTGAAGAACAATGGCAGGCTTGAGAATACCAATCGTAATGTAGCAGCAGAGAATGTTCTTAGGGTGTTAGATATTTTCCTCTTTAAGATGTCGGTCAGAAGGTCGCCTCTGAACGTCACGTTCATGTAAAGCATCTTCTTCGGCATAGAGATGGGTTGTTCTTTGCTGACTTGTCTATAAAGCGTGATGCATATAGCTATTCTCAAATAGTGTCTTCCTCAAAAGAGTGATCTCTTCTCCTACTGATTTGAGGCTGTATATTCTAGTCTGAAGAGGTATAATTGAGTTCTGCTTGAGATTGATGGGTACCCAACTGTAAGCACTTGTCAGCTGACCATTCCGCGTAGGCTTCCAATATATTGGCGGTAATTAGCATTGAAATTCGTGGTGTGCATTTAGGACTAGTCGGCTGGATGTACCTGCATTCCCACTGATGGATGATTTCACTAAAAATCAAATCCTACATCCACTGTTTCAAATGCCAAAGCCTTGTCTACAAGGCTGAAATGGCCACAATGGCCATCTCTTGTGCAATGAGTATCCGTCATTATTTGTTTCTGGGGTAATCCTAATTTTCTGATAACTGATTACATTGGGCTGAACTTTTGCTTCAATTCTGATATATTAGATTTCGTTTCGGTCAATCTGCGCCATACTGTAAAGGGAGAAGACGAAAAACCTTGTCTTCAACGCACCATTTGCACAGATCTTCCGTATTGTGCTACTTTCAGCCCTCATAATATGTTTTTTTGTGCTCCTTTCACGCTCATCATGTATTTCTCCGCAACGCCTTATCGTTTGATTTCTTTGACATCAAATCTATCTCCGTGTTATTTGATGCTTTTTAATGCAGATGAACATCTCTTTCTATACATACTACTGATACATTTTATTAGTAGCACATGCCATAATAGTATTCGGTACTGGTTCACTAAGTCGGTAGTTCAGCGGTAGAATACTCACCAACCAGTTACATGGCTGCGATTTGATTTCCGGTGGACTCAGTTCTAAATTCTGCCTAATTTACTAGCTGGTAATATTCTCCAAAAGAAGAGAAGGTTAGATGTGAGGCTAGCAACCTCACCCAGTAAAAAGTAATAGCACCGCTATAGGAATTTCCGCTTTTAAAGCTTGAAGCCTTTCGTTACACACGGAACACATAGGAATGGGAAAAATCCACAACCTTATTACGTTCATATTAGGTATATGATATGATATTAGGTATATGATATTTGTGCGTCAGTGGCACAGTGGTTAGGATTCTCGCCGTCCATGCACATGGTCCGAGGTTCGATCCCCTGCCACCGACGCACACCTGATATCTATGGTCGGCCTGCGAAATTTGGGCTACTGATATCACATGCTGAAAATTCCATACTTGTACCAAAAATACAGTGTGGAATCAAGCTGTAATAAAAAACAAAAATAAATAAAAAAAATGAAATAAAAAAAGTAGATTTCACAAGAAATCTTAGTTCAAAAATCAATCATTGAATTATTTCCGACGTATTCGTGTACCCTGAGATGGTTGGTATAGTCATGAAGCTTTCCGTGTCTTCATAAACACAACGTTAGCGTTTACTTCAATGTGAGGTGAACGATATAACTGTTTCATATCTCTGTGTGATGATTTGTATGCATAAAGATCGTTTCAATAATTTTGTACTTGACTCAGTTACCATGTGACTTATTCTTTGCTGGTTGATAAATGTCAACATGTCTGTTGAGTAAGTGTGAAGCTTCTAAGAATTCCTCGGCATTTTTAGTAATTATTACTGTCTAACAATTTCCCATTTTCCTAGTCAATTTGGTGTGCATACTCATCTAAATGTACTGATGTGTAGAAATGCTCCTCATGTCTTTTCAGGGATAATATGTATTCCTGGCGTTGAAGACGTAGGCAACTTCTATTTTAAAAGGTATCAGGCTCTTGAAGATGTTGTCGAGATAGACAATGAATGTCTGGCAAACAGAGCGCCAGACGGAAATTACTCACATAAACTATACTGAGTTATTCTTATCACATTATCCAAAAGACAGTCCTGCTTCCCTTAGGCCACAAATCTAATCAGCAAACGAACACATCACTCAGTTTTTTTATAAAAATGCGCAAAATTCAGTGGGCATTACTGCAACAACAACAACAATAACAACAACCAGTCCCTTGAGGCGAAAAGATACAACATAGCTGGCTAGCTAGTCGTTCAAGAGAAACACTTTACAACTATCATGCAACTGTTCGTTATCAGTATAACACCTTTCTCACTTTTTTTAATACTCTTTTACTTTCGCAGTGGAATACAGGAGAGGGAATCGAGCTAGGGGCTTGAAGTTCCAGTAGCAGTGGTGTTTTTATTTTTACGGGATGGGGTTGCTAGCCTCTTATACCCCCAACCTTCCCTCTTTACCAGTCTTACTACTGGCTTAGAGAGGTAAAGGAGTGCGTCTGTTGCCGGAGATCGAACCCCGAACCATATGAGGTGTAGTCGGCAAGGATTCTACCGTTGTGCTATCGATGCACAAGACTTCATGTAAATGACTTACACAATAATGACAAACTCCATTAAATCTAAAGTGTTGCTCACCGTTTCATGGTGATGTGCAGAACTGATAACCTCTTCAAGGAAGTGATTTCTCGTATGCATACATACATATCAGTCTATGCACTGACATTTCCGAAGCTCTTACCAATAGATCTGCCGACCAACTATTGAATACTAATGTGGCTTGGAAAAAAGGTACCTAACTCCAACAGTAACATTGGTTTGATTATGTATAAGTTGTATTCTAGAGCATCCTCTCTTATACTTGTATTAAGTAAAGTGAGAAAGAGTAACTGCTATGTCGGCCTCTAAAGAGGGTACACTAAGTGGCAGTAAAAATACTGAGATACAAAAAGTATGAGTCAGTTGTTAGCCTGAAAAGCACAGTAGTGACGTCTGAATCTTCAGTACTAGAGGAAATTAGTTTGA